AAAGAGTCTTCAGATCCAGTGAAGAGATCGTTATTACACTTAATGTAAAACTTGAAAAGCTCCAAAAAGATTTTGAGGAATGTTTTGAAAGGTGGCTCTACTGATTTAAGAAATGTATTGAAATAAATGGAATAATTTAGAGAAATTACAAAAAGATGAATATTAAAATTGTTTTTATTTTTTTTCCCAGCCAACTTAGCGAACTTTTGTTAGACTCCTCGTATGTGGAAGCAAAGAGCAACAAATTTTGTATGGCGATGGTGAACAGGTGCGAATATTCCTTCCAATTGTATCAACTTTTTGTTTCTTGAAAAGTGAATTCAAACTTAAATCCTTTGTTAATTCAAACACACAAGGAGTGTAAGTGGTAGAATGTCAATTCAAATAGAGTGTCTTCGTTGGTTTATAATAAATTGGTATTATTAAGTATCTTTATTTGGAAAATAACATTATATTAAATATGTTTTTCTTTATCAAATTCACAATTATTTTACAATTTCGAAAGATTTCAAAAACATTCGATTCGTCGAAATAAATGGTTAAATTTCATTTTTTATGATTTTGAAATATTTTTGCAGTTAAGAATTGCTGATTTAGTGCAATATATATTCTTAAATTGTCCAACTAACGCTTTCATATTTTGTTTACTATTATTATTTAATAATAAATAGTAGCAACAAAACTGGTAAATTTTTATTAAAATTTTCAAATGAACTCTAGAAATGTAGTTTCTATTTATTTAGTTTAATTTTACAAATATTTCAATTAATACCCCTCAATCCGAGTCTTAATATAACCTGATCCAATATATAAGTAGTTGTAGTTATTTTAATGTTGGTTTCTTATTATATGTATTTAATTGTTTTTTTAAATTAAGAAATAGGGAAAAATAGGTAAAATTTATTACAGATTGAATTATATTTACTATATGTTTTTTAGGAATTCATTAAAGCGATCTAAGTGATTCTGCATAAATTTGAAAAAATAGATTAAAATAAACAAAATACGTACTTACAAATACTTTTCAATGTAGACATCACAATTATTTAATACAGAAAACGACAAAAGAAACAAATGCAAAAAAACAGATAGTACATCTAACAAAAATATTATATTTTATTAAAGAAATTATCAATTTTTGTTTGGACAGTTATTTTTTTTATCACTGTTTATTCTTGTAATAAGTTTGTAACGAGCTTTTACTATTTTGTTCGTAAGTCGGGTGATACCTGTATATTAATATTACGCTCCAAATCTTCACACTTCAAACATGCAAATAAATCTTTAAGACCTAATGTAAATTATGTGTTTTTTTTATAAATTTTATGTTTTTCATTGTGGAAACGTCACGATGTTTTCATTTGATTAATATTTGAAACTTCACCCGAAGAGCGGTTGCTTTTATTTTCCCTTAATACTATTATTATCTTAATAATATTAAGAGTCGAGTGAGGGAGGATCAACAGCGCAAGTAAACATTTGCCGGAGGAGATTTTGTTACGGAGCGCGAATCGGGTTTCTCAGGAACTGGAGGAAAGTTAAAATAAATACGAAAAGAAATAGGAAGCGAAAGACAGGTAAAATACACGCTGAAAACGAATGAATCTTGGAGCGCAATTAAACGTAGTTTGAATATAAAAATATTTTCACGTTATGTTAGCGTTATACGGAGAGGGACCCACTTTTTGTTGTTGTTTATTTCCAGGAATTTTCCTTTTTGTTCGAAAATTCTCGTAAATGCCGCATGTTTTTTAATATGTGTTTTTGGTAAAATGCGTTCGAGGTTGCGTAATTGGATAGGGGCATTAGTAGAGTGTGGCATTAGCCCGGATGACGACCGTTAATTACAGTATAATCCTGATCAATTATCAAAACGCATTGCCTCAGACACAGGGAATAGCAAATTTCGCACTTGATGCTCGTGCTCTTCACTGTATAGTGTATAGCAGCGTTTCTTAGCCTTATTGTCGCGCAACCCAACATATTTGCTTGTAGTTGTACCCAATACTAAGTTTTTAACCAATTTTGCTCGCTTTGACGCAAGGTGACAGCTGTCATTAAAAATATTGTCGCAACTTTTTCTTCGGTCGCGACTCATAGGATGGAAAACGCTGGAGTATAGTGTGTGTTATTATTTTGTGACCTAGGGCAATAATAATTGTATCGGGTCATGAAGTCGTACGTTTCCAAAGGAGATTTCCTACATAATTCCGCCACCTTTGATCTGTTATTCCGTACGTTACAATAGTCAGCATTCAAGATTGTAATTTGATAGGTAAAATCGTCAAACGAGACCTAGTTTCTTCTCCCGGAACAGTAATAATTCAAATACGAATATTTCAAATGAATATTATTTGCGAATCAATGCTTTAGTTTCCATTTAAATGTATTATTCATTTCAACAAGTGCATTCGGTTTTAACCGAATATTCGGGAATATCTTATAATAAATTCTTATATTATACTATTATATTCATCTATATTCTTCTAGTAAAGTCTTCTCGAAAAGTATTGTTTTAAAATATTACTCACTGTGTCCGAAAATATGGTATATATTTGAAAGAAAATCTTAGATTATTTAGAGTTTTCAAAACAACTGTCAATACTCATTATATTATACTCATTATAATTCATATTGATAGCTAAATAACCAAACATATTTGACAGTCGTTACTTTTGAGTTAAGTTGGAATTTGAATACCAAAAATTAGTTTTTTTAAGAAAAATATACTAGTCACCGCTGTAATTTTAAAAATTAGAACACGGTTCTACTGATGGTTGGAATATTCAATTTCGTCGTGAGGGTTTATTAACTGAAAACATGTTCAAAAGAAACTAAGCTAAATCTCACTTTAACTAAATTTGGATTACACTAAAATTATTTGTATTTGGTTATATTATGATAAAATGAATTTAATATTTTTTTATATTTAATTTTAGTTTTATTTGATTTTGTTCGCAGTTTGAGATTCCTGACGCATCCACCAATATTTATTTCAAACTATTATTTACAAATGTATTCCAATTTATTTAATTTTTTTATGTCGTATTATTTTATTCACAATCTGTTCATCAATTAGTCGCCCCTCCAATATATATGAGAATATTTTTGTATTTAGCACAGAATCATCGAATGGTGTCGATGTTTATTCAGTTGTCTATAAATTTAGGCATTTCTGGCCCCTCATCGAATAAACTTATAAAATAAGTCGAGACCCGGAAAATCGTTAGTATTATCAAAATACTTATTTTTTGACATGATTCGTTTCTGCATAATAACAAAAAACTAAATCTATATTGACAAATATAAGTACATTTATTATAGTGAAAACTTTATTATAAAAAAACAGACTTCAATTTAGTGTTATTTGAGGACAAAAGATTCTCAAATTACATCGATCTAAATATCAGTTTACGTTAAGAGTTTCGGTGTCTCCGATCGAAATTGGCTGAAGGGACGTCTGTCTCTACAAGCGATTTGTATTTATTTGCTTATCCCTCGGGCTCAATTTCTGCATTCGCGACTTGCATTTTCTGGGTTTCCATTGTAAATTGAATTCGCGTCAATTCGCGTCGACGAAATGAATAATTTCATTTTGATCATCACTCCCATTCGCCATTTCTATCTGTATCTACTTTTTCTCAATTTCATTCCTATTTGTATATGATTCCATTTGTTATTCCCAATATATGCACTGTTGTTAATATTAGATGCAATATCTGTATACAGTGGAACCTCGCTTAACGAGTTTACTCCGTTCCAAAATTTCCGGATTTTTACTCGTATAGTGAAACATATTCAAAAATACACATGTGTACACAAGTTTTATAAATGATGTAGAAGGCGCGCATCCGGGACTTCTCTTCTTATCGTTACTCGTTTTGCAAAACGTCGCGAGTCATTTTTTCTTACAATTCATTTTGCTCGTTAAGCCACTGTATTAGTAATATTATTATTTAAACTTTATGTACGGTACTTTACGTTTGATAGTTTACAAAAGTTAATTAATTACTATATCGATACAGTTTAATATTATAAGTAGTATTAGTAATAATATTAAATCATGTATTGGTAAATATTATTGATTACTCATTGATCTAATGATCCTCGTCGTATTTAGCTGAAGTTTTTAATTGTCAATTTGTGAAATTTTGAATACAGAAAAATACTTGACGTTTTACAAATCAAAGAATGTCGTGAATAATATAGTTGGAAAATGTCATTATACGAAAATATTATTTCTATCAATAAAATACTATAAACGTGACGTTAGGTAACTGTTTGCTGTCTGAACTCATGTACATATTTCTATCTTTATATTAAAAGTCCAATGCATATGAAAATACAAGATTCGGTATAAATCCGAAGCGCAAATAGATTGCCTTATTAAACTGCTGAGCCAGGTGTAGCAGGAAAATTATGTAAAACACCCTCGAAACCCGTCCCATTCCACAATTTCCCTCTTGCCCATTTTTCTGTATTCCTCTGTAAATCCAGTGTCGAGAATCCGTATTATAAACAATGAATTCTCTCTCACTCTACTTTGTCTCCTTTTTCTCGCTCGATGTTTGTATGTTTTCTCTACTTTGAAAAGCTTCAATTTAGCTGAAAAAAACGGGGTTCCTAATTTACGGCGAAATTCAATAATAATGATCAATAGAAAATGTGCGCTGCAATAAAACCGCCGTCAAAGAGTTGCCAGTTTCAAAGGGACCCAACAAACGCCCTCCAACCTCAATCCACTCTTTGTTTCGTCTGTTTATTTTTATTTCGAGTTTCTCCTCCAATCATCGCAAGCTTCTAATATTTCCAAGGTGATATTTTATACGTGGGGTCGACTCTTCTTAAACTCTTTGCTCGTTAAGTATAATTCAAAACTCAAATTAAGTTTGGTTCAATTCTTTGCGCCATTAAAACTGCGGAGTGAAATATGTAGTAATATAGTAAAAAGAGGATTACCGGATTTAGTAATTAAATGAAACAAATATTATTTTACCGTTTTATTTATTAAGTAATCAAACCTCCAGCTCATTTCCTGGAAAGGAAACGGATGGAAATAAAATCTAATCCCCACATTATTATTGTTACGTTATGATCATCGTTGATGATGATTTAAGAGGAATCCCCGTTTTATGCGTCCAATATTTCACGAGGCAGATACACGTATTCTCCGCTTGGTCCGATGATGTCGTAAACAGACGAGACGAGACGTCTACTCGTAATGTTTCCGCTTATAATGCTAATATATAGAAAGAGAAGTGGAAATCCCGGAACCTTAGGTCTTAGGCTTAAGTTACTTTGGTATTTCGTTGTACTAAGATGCGCTTTTCATCTTCTTCAATTCCCTCATCTGTGCACGGTCAGGTGCTTCTGCAGTGTGGCGTTCAAAGAGAAAGCCTCGCCGCAGATATCGCAAATGTATGGCTTCTCCCCGGTGTGCGTTCGCATGTGCACATGCAAATGCGTGCTTTGATTGAATTTCCTCTGACACACGTTGCACTCGTGCGTCTTTATACCCAGATGTATTCTCATGTGTCTCTGCATGCTGTTGCTGTATGGGAAGTTCTTGCCACAGATGGTACACAGAAACGGCGTCCTCTTAGTCTTCTGACCCGGTGCGGTCTCGTGCGAACGAATGTGACGTCGTTGCGAAGAAATTCTGTGAAACTTCTTGTCGCAGAACGTGCAATCGTATATCTTCTCACCGGTGTGCGATCTCACGTGCTCCGCCAAATGGTACGACCTCTTATAAGACTTGTTGCAATAATCGCACACGTACTTCCTATCCAACATGTGCATCCTCTCCAAATGCCTCTTCAATTGCCACCTCTTCTCGAACAACGTCTCGCAATAATCGCAACGCAATTCTAACCCTTCCTCGTCCTTCTCTCCATCATTCTCTTTCATCTCTTCCTCCTTTCCTTCCACTTCATGAACCTCAACCTCCTCCTCCTCTTCTTCGTCATCCATCACACTCTCTGCTTCCTTCTTTTCCTCAATCAGAGTCTGCAAAGAGGTCTGTGACAGCCTCACCATTTCAATAAATCTGTATGCTGTGCACAGCTGCTGGATGCACGAGTGGCAAATCCTCTGAAGCTCGCATTGATGCTGCAAAAGTATTAAATAAAAATACAAATCGAAAATGTATTAATTTTTTTGAGAATTTACCAGCTCCTCGGGGTAACACAATTTGAGTTTCTCTCTGTAACTGATTTTATCTGAATCCAGAGCAGTCAGACTCACCAATTCTTTGGGATCGATTTGCAGGCACGTCAGGCACATTTTCTCGGTGAGAAACATTTCGGAAGTGCCGAACCACCGCAATTTACTTCCTGATATCCGACAAAAATCAGAGAATTTTTTAGGTTATGTACATGTAAACGTAAACAAACTAGACATAGGCAACTGAACAAGCATCCTTATATACAGTGAGATTCTTTTTTAACGACAGTTAATCGATTCTTATATCCATGATTTCATCATACTCTCCACCCCGCCTGGAAGTAGATAACTTACAAAAAAAAATAATTTCATTGTTATTATTATACTATTCACAAAGTAAATTGTTTTCATTAATATCCAAACATTTCCTATAAACTAAATACAGTTGCTACTCGTTACTACTTTTTTTTTATATGGAAGTTATTAAATAAACAAATTATTTGGAGGGCGGTCGTAACCGTGTAGCTATAGTCGCCTGTATCACGAAATATATAAATAAAGTTATATTTGAATTTGTATCACGAAAATCCGATAAAAATAAGTTGGTTCGATTCTCAAAAACCACATAAAGGGCCAATAAATAAATTGATATAAATTTCTTTTAATATAAAAAAAAAGTTTAAAACTTTGGCAATATTCTTAAGAATTATTAAAATTTACAATTTAGTAAAAAAAACAAATATTAAAATATCTAATATTAAGGATCTGACTAGGTCTTATAATTTATATTTTTGTACAAATGCAAGTGAGATTAATGCTATTTGAGATGGAAATGGTGAACAGCCGTTTGCTACATCGGGCAATTACAGGGAAATGCAACTTGTGTCTGGTCAAAGGCCGGACTGGACATAGCTTTGTCGTAGGTCAGTAATGGTACGTGTGATCTGTACCTTATGGAGTTATGAACACGACAAATTGCATCCGCCGAGCCGAGACACCGAAGCACAGAACTTGCCCAATCTGCGTCGCAAATTACGAATTACGTGACCAAGACCCCGATTTTCCATCACCGTGAATTAACTCGGATTAAAGTGGACCGTCGCTCGATTATTGGGTAGCTCTTTCACCGTAAGTTTACATCCTCCGGGAGCTTAACAATATACACACACATATACATCTATATAAGTATGGGGCGAAGTTTAAATTGTTAAATTGTTGGAAAGAGGAGCGCGAGACGCGGTGATGAGGTAAAACGGGATCAAAGGGAGAATCTCAAGGGAATGGGGAATAAGAAAACATTGTTGGAATTTCAAGTGAAGGAATTTGCGATTCAAAAAACTCGCGTTAAAACGTTGAGATGTCTGCGGAGGATGGATTGTTGTATTCTTGGAAGGCGGTTTAAACTGATTATATCTGGTCCGTTCTGCAAAGGATTAGCGAAGATCTCCAAAAACCACCGAAGCGCCAGTCGATCAACGAGTGAATCATCGTTTGCACGCACTTACTACAAACATACAGATTAAATCGGTGTATTTTTTATCCCCCCAAAGCACGCAGATAAAGGCCTACTTATATTTATACCAAACGCCTGCAATGATGCAATACGTGTCCTGTATTTTAACAGCCATCAACCAGGTATTTATTACGATCTATTATTGGTACGCATTCACTAACACTTCAACGATAATTCCAAAACTTAATATAATAGTGTTAAATCTAATTGGAATAAAGAGAAGCAATCGAACCACGAGAATTCAAATTCAAATTATGACATAAGAAAAGAAAATGACAAATAAATAAATCTAGTTAAATAAAAATACTAAATCAACATTTGTATGAAGAATCACGATGATATTTAATTAAATAGAAATCTAGCATTTGTTTTATTTGGTTGGAATAAACTCGCACAAAAAAAAAAAAATAATTTCTAACTTTAAAAATTTAACTTTGAACTGTCACAAATTTATTTTTACAAATTTAAATTAAACATTTCAATTTTATTCTCAGTTATCACACCAAAATCATTGCAATTTAATTGTAATTAGTTTTAATTAGTCGTAAGTTTCTTCTTGGATAAAGCTGAATAGATATTTAATATATTTACTTTTGTTCAATTACTATGAAAATTGCTATGTTATATTTGTTGATTTATGTGGAAAAGCAAAGAGTAAACTGCTGCAATTGAAATTGAAAAACATAACTTTTGTTATTAGTTATTGGACTTTCTTTAAAATTTAATGATTATAATGTTTCCATATCTATAAAATGTAGTTTCTAAGGTCGTACGGAAATTCCTAGACGCGAAAATTGAAAATCCTTGCCGAGATAATAAAAGGAAGAAAAAAATGTGGACCGCATCTCTATTTACGAACGGCGGCGCGTGTTAAAAATATCGCAATTATCAGCGACGTTATCGTTCCGCGTATATTTTTAGAATCTCGAAGGTGACGAAAGAAAACAATAACATTGATGGAGAGGAAGGCATTCTCAAAATAAAAGAAAACTAACCCAAACTTGGATTAATTGGATAGGATTAACGGTTTTAGTGTAAGGTCCGCAATTAGCGTTTGGCCAGGGCCCCCAAAGTTAACAGTTTGTCCCTGTTTTCAGTGACGTTTTTTGTTGTTAAAGAAATCATTCTTTAAAAGGGGACACCAATCTTGACACCAATTGCAGATTCCCTTAAATTCGCGCGTGCACGGTGTGAGGATAATTGAAAGAATTGTCCTCAATACAAAACATTGATGTATGTATGCAAATCGCTTTTTAACAAAGTTTCTCATTAACATCCCGAATTATCTGGAGATTAACCGAAATTACATCGTTATCATTTTGTAAATCGTGACACACGGAAAGCAAACGAAATTTACCTTTCAATGATCTGCAAAAAAAAAAAGTAAATTATACAAACATATAATAATTACTTAAAGAGTCATTTAACAAGATATTAGTAACAAGGACAACTGCATTTTGCATGTTCAAATATCTTCAATCGAATTTTTGTAATCATATTATTTAAAATTTGACTCATTATAGTTTATAGAATACCCAGTCACAATGTAAATATGACACACTGCTATTTTCATAAAGAACTAAATAACTAATAAGATTTATTACAATAGTAACTCATAACTTGAGCTTGTAACAAAGGTAACTCTTACCTAGTTAACGAATGTATAATTTATTTGCAGATTAATAAGATGAATGTGCCCGTGTACATCGTATGCGCGGCGTTGATCGTCGCCGTTAACAGCGAGGAAAACCCTCTCTTCGGAAGGGAGAACGAACCTATGGACCGGGAAGCAATGGGTTATATTCTGCCTAAGCTGATGCCCAGATACCGCGCGATTTCCAATAAACAATGGATGGCCCCGTACTACGCCGACTCCAACAACAACAACGAGGTAACATTTTGTCTTCAGCTGTTAACTCTGTTTGATCATATTTATCTTGCAGCTGGACTTTGGACAGGAGGCGCGCAACAAGAGGGCAGGCCTTATTGACGGTCCTTCCTTGTCGATCAGCAACTCTCTGGATGTGCTCAGGAACCGTCTGCTCCTAGAGATCTCCAGGAAGAAGGCTCTTCTCGGCGCCAACTATAACCGCAACATGCTCTGCAGGATCGGAAAGCGCTTTGAGAACAACAAACGCCGCTGTGAAGACTCCGAGAAGTACGTCGAGGATAGATTTATGGTCTAAAGAACGCCTACCTTCGATCCGCCAACCAAAATTAGCGCCAACACAAACACACAACACACACACAACTAGATTGAAGTCCAAACAAAAAACATTACTAGAAGAATTCCATTGGACGACACGCCTTACGTCCAATAGGATTATTCCCCAAACTCCCTCTATCCTCAAAACAAACCTATCCTAACTATCTAATAATAACGTATATGTATTTAGTAGTGTACCCAAATATCAGTAGTTGGAAAAAGTCAGTAGAAAAAAAAGAAAATATCAAGATATTCTCAGCGAAAGGAAAATCTAGTCAAGTAGGGCGAAAAGCATCTTTTATAATTTCCGTTCCTAATTTAGTTGTTCCCCGAATATCTAACTATTTATATAATGACTTTTACACTGTGGCCTATTTCAGTATTACAGAAACAAGTTAAAACTACTCCAGTTTTTTTACTTATTGCATCTTCGTTCCCCTTTTTTTTCGTGGAAACGAGAGAAAGGCGGACATAAGACAACGAATTTTATGTCCAATGGTTAATCTTCAATTCGTTTTTATTTCAACGGGTAAATTTATTTATTTATTGTATGTTCCGATTTCCTCTATCTTCGTGTATTCCAGAGAAAAATGTATGTACAAAAAAAAATATATATGGTATAAATTAAAATAAATATTATGAAAGTTCGAAAAGTCTACAAAGATGTCTGTTTTAATTTCGAACATAAATACTTTATTCTCATTGCATATCTAAGTAATTATTCAAGAGGGAGGGTAAGTAATGATTATTGTTTATTTTATATTTAATTTAAACTTAAATCTAAACTAAAATAATCTAATGCGACGATTGAGTTTTCCAAGAGAGGTAGGTGTTCCAGACCAAAGCGACAAACTGTACGAGGAGGACTTGATATTGGAGCGGAACGAAACAAAAGTTCACGAGTTGAACGGGAGGCCAAAGCTTGTAGTTTGTTATCAAGATATCCTTGTAATCTCTTGTGATGTCCTTCTGAATTGAATCCAGGGGTTTGCGCTGGACGAGACCTAGAGCAGTCAAGAAGACCACTATGAAACAAGGAGCGAAAAGCAGCTGATCGCAGGCCATCTTCTTCAGAGCCACGGATCCACCACCAACGGATCCGAAGCGCTTAGCCAGAAACCCGTACCAGACCGTCAGTGTTGGTCCCTTCAAAATAAAGCACATCTGGTTGCATAACTCATCTCAAGTTTAACCTACAATTTGAAATAAATACACAAAACGTATCCACGTTAAAAGAACTGCTCTGATTGTATCAGTTCTTCAAAAAATATAACTGAATCCATGGTTATTTAACGATTGTTTACCAATTTCTCAAAGGTGAGTTGATTATTCGTATCATTTTATTTATTTACCGCAATGAAAAACCCAATGGACGTGAACTGTGCCGTCCTCTGCAGGCTATAATCTTTCATGGGGCGCTTCTCAACGACCGTCTGCGCTATGAAATCGCCCGCTCCCATCAAAGCTCCCGCCTGGACGGCCTGAGACAAGATTGGGAACTTCCTCAGGAAAGTTTGATAAATCTTGCTGACGCTCATCTTAAACTAATATACCGAAAGATAAAACAACTGGAATCACAGCAACAGAGGTTATTTAATCTACAAGTAGAAGAACAGTTAAAAAACGTGCCTCTTTAAGGTTATGTTTTCCAGATGACAGCATAAACAATAATGATAAAAACATTGCAATTTTGGGATTGATGATATTTCGTTTGTCAGCTGTGTCAAAATTGTTTGATGGAAGTGTGTCTAAATTTCCTTTGCCCCTTGAAACTCAAATGAAAGGATTTCAGGTTTTATATGTGGACATTTGTAAATTAACATGTGGAAGCAACTCCTGCTTAAACTGCCTCTGGTCCGAGCGCCCAGCTTCAGGGTTGTCAAGAAGACTTTTCTGACTTTGAGCTCGGCCCAGCTGCTGAATATTGATTTGCCGGATGTAAAGGAAGACTTTGTGCAGGATTTAGATTTGAGCAACTTGAGGTTCTCGAGTGAGGTAAAGTCTGCCTGTTCAAAGAGTGATGAAGCTATTAGGGAACTGATTCAGACACTGAATGCTTGCATTGAGGAAATTTGTGAGCAGTACCAGCATTGCGTGGCGAAGCAGATCGAGATCACAGTGACTGGCATGAACGTGGATCCAATTGGAAAGCATTGGGACGATTTGACCAAGTACAGAGTAGAGGCGAACGATTTGAAATTGGAGTTCGAGAAGTACAGGATGCTGGTGGAGAGGATCGGTCAGATCATATACAACCAGACGTTCAGCTCGGTGATTGCGGGTAGCGAGGCTTCGGACGTGGTTACCTCCGATTACGAGAGTTTAAAGAACCTCGTGGAACAGAAGAACGAGGAAAATCGGTTTTGGGATAGCAAATTGTTGGATGTCAATGCGAAGAGCATACTTACCGGAGTTTATTGATTGTAGTCGTCGTTTATTTTAATTATAAAATAAAATTATTTGCATAATGTTATTTTTAATCGTTTTCTTTGTCTGTATTTCTTTGTATTTTCTATAGATGAGTACGCAGTCTGGTAACGGATCGCGGACGAGACCACAGAAGTACCAAAACCGCGTAGCTTACAAGAACAATCTGCATGACACGAGCCACAAGACGAAGAAGTTAAATGCAATTCAGGTGTCGGAGGTGTGCGAGAAGTGCAGGGCAGTCATCGAGTGGAAGATCAAATACAAGAAGTACAAACCTCTAACGCAGGCTAAGAAATGCGTCAAATGTGAGGAGAAGAAGGTGAAAAAGGCGTACACCGTTCTGTGCTCGGATTGCGGTAAGAAACATAAAATTTGCACCAAGTGTCTGGAGTCAAAGGAAATCGTGCCGAGGGCACCAAGCAAGAATGAAGAACTGAAGATGGACCTGGAGCTCAAACAAATGCTCCAGACGCTGTCTGAGCGCAAACGTAGAACATTCATCCGATATATGAATAAAAAGAAATCTGACGATACTCAGGACACGAACGAAACTGCACCAATGAAGAAGGAGGAACTCGTGAAGAAGCTTAACGCGCTCAAAGTTGATGACGAAGAGAACGATTCTGATTTCGATTATAGTGACTTTAGTGATAATGAAGATGATGAAAAAGATGACGATGATGATAAAGATTCTTCATAATAGATGTGACTTATTTTATTACAATATTATTAAATTGAATAAATACAAATATATTGTTTACAAAATCTGTTTTAATACATTTACGTTTTACAGCAGCTAAGGACGAACTGTATTAATTATAGACAATTTAGTTCACTGGAAATGTATATTATGGATGAAGAAATAATTACAAGGTAATAAATATTTTATTGAACTAATACTATTTTTCCACAATTTTACCATATCTTTGGTTTGAATCAAGAATATAATTAATTAACTAATTACACGTCATCTCGTGTACCTCTAATAATAAATTTACTGTCATCTAATTGTTGTCGTATTTTCCTGTAAATAACGTTACGCTCTTGACATTTATGTAGAATACGAACGGATGGTTGCATTCAAAATCCATTTCCAGGGTCTTCCTCATTATTAATACTGAAAAACATTAACATTTCAAAACAACCGCTGATGATTTTTAGCATTCTTTAAAAATTCTGGTAACGATTCTTGGCATTTTATACACAAACGTAAATTAAACGAGAATTAGTTAATTTTCCCGTGTTTACGTATTATAAAATAAAATAATTTGCATACAATAATATTAAGTACATAACACCACCAGGAAGACTACATGTTAAAAACAGGTTATTTGAATAATTGAAGCTCCTAAAGATGACAAACATCAAAGATTAGTAATATTAATTTACAAAATGTACACATATTACGAAATCATATATTATTATGTGAAACAATAAACACCATAGTGGCAAATACATTGGCGATGTTTAAAACTTTAATCTGAATCTGAAATAAAAAGCACAAAGCATAGATTAATATTTTCCAATTTTGGTAGCAAATATAATTAAGTTAAATTAATCCCAGAATAAAAAAGGAAAATGCTAAGACAAAAGATCTTTATTGTAAATAGATTTATTGTACATACATAAAATATAATGAGTAAAATAATAGTGAATCTTAAATGCTTTGCTCACTTTTGGTGGTTGTAACGCCCACCGTCAAGCGAACCAATGACAAGAGAGGAAATAGAAATTATTGGCGGAAAAGATGGAGGAGTCACACAATGAATCTCTAGGGGTTTTCAAGTGCGCCCAAAAACATGATCGCCGAATCGCGTCGCAAGAAGAAGATGAATGGGTGATCGACGCTGAGCAAGACAGTCGGTGGTATCAGTTTTATGCGATTTACAACAGACACGGCTAGAAACAGAGAAGAAGTAAGAACAAATGAAAAAAATAACAACCCCAATTCCATTTCAATAGTACCAACCCTTTTCCCTAGATAACAATTTTCTAACTACACTCTTTCAAACCGACACCATTTTCCCAGAAAACAAGCAAACATTGCGCACAAGAATCTTGAATAGGAACGGCCGATCTACAGTAAATATTTTTTTTTCCGGGATAATCCTTCCAATTCTGGCATACAGCACCCATCCTATAAAAAATATTTTTTTGCTAGAATCTGATAACTTGTGTTAACTAACCACTACAAACCACGCCTCTCCTAGTGGAGGCACAACAAACCAAGCCTACTTTTTTATTCTTTAATTAGAAAATGTGGAATGAACATTAAAACTTTTATTAAACATCTGCAATTAAATGTTATTACAAATCATTTAATTATACAGTTATCAAAGTTCCAATAAACATGACGGTTGTGGGTTCCATAAATATAATATACATGAAGGGTCTATCCGCTTTAAACTCTTTTTCTTGTATTTTTTCAAAATATGATGCTCCCGCAAGCAGTATACCTAGAACAGAACGACCGCAATGGAATTAACCCAAAAGCAATATTATGGACACATTCGTGTTGATCATGCAGTGTTAATGATTTCGATATGACAATGGTGACATTATTAATACTGAAAAACATTAAGATTTCAAAACATTTTTAGATTTTTAGCATTCTTTAAAAATTCTGCTAACGATTCTTGGCATTTTATACACAAACATAAAACGTAAATTAAACGAGAATTAGTTAATTTTCCCGTGTTTACGTATTATTGTAACAAGTAATATAGATTACAATAACATTAAGTACATACCACCACCAGGAAGACTACATGTTAAAAACAGGTTATTTGAATAATTGACGCTCTTAAAGATGAGAAACATCAAAGTTTAGTAATATTAATTTACAAAATGTACACATATTACGAAATAATATATTATTGTGTGAAACAATAAACACCATAGTGGCAAATACATTGACGATGTTTAAAACTTTAATCTGAATCTGAAATAAAAAGCACAAAGCATAGATTAATGTTTTCCAATTTTGGTAGCAAATATAATTAAGTTAAATTAATCCCAGAATAAAAAAGGAAAATGCTAAGACAAAAGATCTTTATTGTAAATAGATTTATTGTACATACATAAAATATAATGAGTAAAATAATAGTGAATCTTAAATGCTTTGCTCACTTTTGGTGGTTGTAACGCCCACCGTCAAGCGAACCAATGACAAGAGAGGAAATAGAAATTATTGGCGGAAAAGATGGAGGAGTCACACAATGAATCTCTAGGGGTTTTCAAGTGCGCCCAAAAACATGATCGCCGAATCGCGTCGCAAGAAGAAGATGAATGGGTGATCGACGCTGAGCAAGACAGTCGGTGGTATCAGTTTTATGCGATTTACAACAGACACGGCTAGAAACAGAGAAGAAGTAAGAACAAATGAAAAAAATAACAACCCCAATTCCATTTCAATAGTACCAACCCTTTTCCCTAGATAACAATTTTCTAACTACACTCTTTCAAACCGACACCATTTTCCCAGAAAACAAGCAAACATTGCGCAGAAGAATCTTGAATAGGAACGGCCGATCTACAGTAAATAATTTTTTTTCCGGGATAATCCTTCCAGTTCTGACAAACAGCACTCCTATAAGAAATATTTTTTTGCTAGAATCTGATAACTTATGTTAACTAACCACTACAAACCACGCCTCTCCTAGTGGAGGCACAACAAACCAAGCCTACTTTTTTGTTCTTTAATTAGAAAATGTGTAATGAACATTAAAACTTTTATTAAACATCTGCAATTAAATGTTATTACAAATCATTTAATTATACAGTTATCAAAGTTCCAATAAACATGACGGTTGTGGGTTCCATAAATATAATATACATGAAGGGTCTATCCGCTTTAAACTCTTTTTCTTGTATTTTTTCAAAATATGATGCTCCCGCAAGCAGTATACCTGGAACAGAACGACCGCAATGGAATTAACCCAAAAGTAATATTATGGACACATTCGTGTTGATCATGCAGTGTTAATGATTTCGAGATGACAATGGTGCGAATTAAATTTTGAATCTTAGACTAAGGAACACCATTTGACGTTCAAGGTGTTAGTGAAATTTCCATCAAAGTTTTGAAACCCTCACGATGAACAAAAGTTGTGTAGTAGTGCAGCTGTGAGTTTTAGATCTATTTTCGCAAGCTCAGCTAGGATAACAACTATAAGAAGAAAAAAAATAACGTCAAGTGATGGCTGTCATTTCCAAGGACTGACATGTGCTATATCTATTTTATAATGTTAATTAAGAAATGTGTCCGAAATATTGTTTTTGATATTTTGAACATTTTTAAAAGTATTGGAAGTTGTAATTAAAACTAGGTAATATTTTCCATCAATGAATAATTGATCGCAATGTCTGAAATTCGAAGAATAAGACTTTTAGATTTTTGACATTTTGTTGCCACAGTGAAACCAATTTGACGCTACACATTCTATGACACCTTCCTTGAACAGAATAAACAAACTGTCACTTTGACATTAAGAAGCTATACACGTAATAGACTTTGGCGCATAGATCACGTAACAAGAATATATCATAAAAAACAAATAACTATTGAAAGCTCTTTTGTTTTGATATGCATTTATAAATTATCATTTCTTTAAGATGGAAAGTAAATTATTATTTTTGTCTAATTTGCACTTTTTGAAGAATATATGTGATATAGGGGGTGTAATTTAGTGGTAGAGCCGCACAACCGCAATTCTATTTCAGTAGTACCAACCCTTTTCCCTAGATAACAGTTGTCTAGCTACACTGTTTCAAACCGACACCATTTTCCCAAAAAACAGGCAAACATCGCGCACAAGAATCCTGAATAGGAATGGCCGATCGACGGTAAAAATAATTATGTGCGGCACAATCCTTCCAATCCTGACATCGATCAACGATCCTACAAGAAATAAATTTTCGCTAGAATCTAAAACTAATAATAACTAACCTCTAACAAGCCTCGCCTCTCCTGTGGGAGGCACAACAAACCAAGCCTGCTTTTTTATTCCTTAACCAGAGATTATGAAATGAACATTAAAACTTTAATTTTGAACTTTTATTAAACATCTGCAGTTAGTAAATGTTATTACAAATATACTAATTATACGGTTTTCAAAGTTCCAATAAACATGACGGTCGTGGGTTCCATTAATATCATATAAATGAAGGGTCTATCCGCTTTGAATTCGTTTTCTTGCAAAGGCATCTTGAATGAATATGCCTCAAATATTATACCTAGAAATGAACAACCACAATTAAATTAACCCAAAAGCATTATTATGGACAAATTCGTGTTGATCATGCATTCCCAATGATTTCGAGTTGACAATGGTGCAAATTAAATTTTAAATCTTAGACTAAAGATCGTCAGGTTTGACATTAGCATTTGACATTCGAGGTGTGAGTAAAATTTCCATCAGGGTTTTGAAACTCTCCCGATGAACAAAAGTTGTGTAGTTTTATCGGATCGTTGCAGTTGCAGCGCAACAAAGAACGGTTGATCCGCTGTGAAAGCTGGATCTATTTTCGCAAGCTCCGCTAGGATAACAACTAGAAGAAGAAAAAATAATGTCAAGTGGTGACTGTCATTTACAAACACTGGCATATGCTATATATATACATATATAATATAATGTCAATAAAGAGTTGTATCTGAAATATTGTTTCTTGACGTTTTAAACATTTCTAAACATTGTTATTTGTTTGCCGAAAATCTTCCCAAGAATACCGTCAACGGGTATTCTTCCTTGATCTTAACTTGAATAATGTATAAAAACGGATGAGAGATAACCAGTTCATCTGGAGCGGATAGAAGGACTATTGAGCCGTCTGAAATTGCAAACAGGTTTCGATTTTAAGAAATCTTAGTTATTTAAATTGTGGTACATTTAAATGGTGCCAGATGCTGCGAGTGCAAGTAAATCGTTATTATCAACAGATGACATGAATTTGACTTTACCAACACAAATTTATTACAATGAGTTCTTGTTTTTTTTTAAGTTTTACTACGACGATTAGATGAATAATATCAATTGTTTAAAAACGTTATTTGAAACAAAATAAGATTTTGAGAATTAACAGATGAAACACAAGGAAAACAAGATGGAAGTAATGTATTGAATTGAGAAATTATTTTTGCCATTGTGATAATGGAACATAAAACATAGAAAATTGTTGATTATTAAAGAGTAATGCAGAATTAATAACAATTTTTTCGATTCAGATTTGTTTTTTTTACAGATGAATATTGTAAGATACGTAAAACTTGTTAAGATGAGATATTGACAAAGTCCTTATAATTATGCTTTGAATATATTTTTATTGACTACAATAACTTTGTCTATTTAATTCGTGTTCTGTTTCCATATACTGTGCAATAAATTTATTTTCATTTAGTGTATAGTTAGTTTTCCGCAGAAGAGAATGGTCGCGTCTTTGTGCTTCTTTGAAGTTTGAATGAAGTAGAAGAACGGACGATTGAGGACTAGTGTATGTTTTTGTGACACTGAAGTTAAGGTCGCCACAACGCCTGAAATTTGAAAAGAGAATTAAAAATATTTGTCATGAAGAAATGCAATTGAACAAGTACAACTATATTATCTTAGGTGCAGATTTGTGTACATACAATGGTGCTAAGAAGACTCAACAAAATAAAACATGGATAATGTTAATTCATATTTATTTCCATTCAAATGTCAAAGTCTTTAAGATGAAAATCTGCCGAAGAACAAAATCGATGTAGAATTATCCGGAACTGCAGCTTGGATAAAGTACAGGAAGTTGTAATTAGCAGTTAAACTAATATCCATCAATGAATAATTGACCGCAATGTCTGAAATTTGAAGAATAAAACTTTTTGACATTTTATTGCCATAACGAAACCAATTTGACAGTACAAATGTCACGAAGACACAAACTTTGACATTACGAAGCAATACATGTAATGGACTTTGCACATAGATCACGTCACAAGAAGAGTTTTTACTAAATATATATATACACAAAAAAAAACAGTTAAACATTGAAAGCTCTTGATTCTGATGTAACTTATCGTTTAATTGTTTTAAATAGAAGGTAAATTATTATTTTCGTTTTATTTGCACTTTTTGGATAAAAAAAATAATAGAGGGGGTGTAA